TTTGGTGTCTATTTTTAGGTATGAGCGTGTAGGTTATCCCCATGAAATGTGTGTTATGTACCAGTTAATTTTTGAGATATTGATGCACAAACATGGGTAAATTGCAAATAATATTCTTGTAGAGGATTAAAAGTTGCAGTCAGTATGAGAAACCATCTCCAAGAACGACCAGAGACGCCACAAATAAAGGGAAAAAGGTTGTGGCATGTGCTGCGCAGACCCAAGTGGAGATAGTGTCCCGTAGTTTTAGCTCTTATCTCCCTTTGCATACTGAGGTGAAGATAATGCTCAGGGGTGTTGTGGGCAGAGCCTCCCCAATCAACCCTTCCCTCATGATAGCTTAGAGCCCAAGTTAGAGGCTTGACATTAGGTCACTTTCTTGTTTAACCTCTACCACAGGTCACAAGGTTTAATGGATTTCATATGAACACAGCCAGTCTAATTACGAAGTATAAATTTATTTTAAGAGCTGCTTCAAGGAAAAGTGAGATTTATCAACACTTTTCAGACTAGGATATCTGTAAATCAATTGAATTGTCACAATATTCATGATTCTTACCACTCATTCTAGGACTCTAACCTTCATTTCATTAGACTGGCATGTAATCTTCCTGCTTAAGTGCAGAACAGTGGCATGGCATAGACTTTCAACTATATAAGTTACCATGACAGCATGCCCTGCTCTGCCCCCCTAACACCCCCATTGTTTTCATCATTGTATGCATGGCAAGATAGAGCTGAAACGCAGAAGCACTGAATGGATGTAGGCTGTGAGCCTTGCTTTCCACAATCTTTTTCCTTTATTTGTGGCATTACCATTCATGTCTGCAGATTATTTCTTGTAATGATAACCAGCTATTTATCCTCTGCAAGACTATCATCTACATTAGTGCATCCATGCCATAAAGATTAACCCAAATATTTATACAAAACTATGCATTTCTGTAAATTCAATTCATCACTCATATCTTCTTTAAACCTTCATGTCTTTCCGATTGCAGATGGAAAATGGACATACTCTATTTGACTACAACATCAATATCAATGATGTGATTCAACTGATGGTAAAGCCAGTTCTGTCAGAGATCAACTCCAATGTGCAAGCCAAAGCGTCTTCAGCAAAACGGGATGGAGAGCAAGCTGACAAGGAGAATACTAAGGTAAACTAAAGATGCTGTATTTATGGGCTTTTTACTCTTTACTTGACTTCTTAAAAAGTCCACATTTGAGGTCATGAGACTTTCCTACTGATTGGCAGTTAAGAGACATGGAAGAAAAAGTGGGCGTTAGAGGATTAGATCGTACTGTGTGATTGTTCCGAGTTAAGTGATGTATTCAAGCTCACTGCATGCCTTTTCTCAAAAGTACTTGCCACTTGATTGTATGTATTTTTATGAATTTACTTCTTGCTATATAACCAAACTTTGGTCATTTACTCTCAGTGCTGATGTATAGTCTTGGCTTATTGCAGACTGACTCAGAAGTTAAGGGAAATGCAGATGTGCGGGAGAGTGAATACTACAGAGTGGGAGATTTGATTGATGCGAAATCTTTGTATGATGGAACCTGGTGGGAAGCCAAAATTAACAAAATTACAGTAAATCCTAAAGTTAAGGAGATATCTGAAGAAGATGATGGTATGCTTTACCATGTCACACATGAAGGGTAAAAAATTTAATGTTTCTGTAAATATATATTTGATTTACATACTCTGGAATTGTTATCAGTAAGTCATTTATGATAAAGAACTTATAGCTTATGTTTATTTTTAAGGTATGGTTTAATTTTTGTTTCTTTTCATCCTAAGATGAACTATTAAAAAGTATTTGCCATCTTTAGGTTTGAGGATGACGTGCCTGAAGAGCTATTGCTGAAGCACATTCGACCAAGAGCCTTTCAGAATGTCAAATTGGATGATCTTTGTAAAGGAGACCTTGTCATGGCTAACTACAACCTAGAAAATCCTGAAGAACGAGGACACTGGTATGATTGCAAAGTAAGTATTTTATAGTCTATTATTTTCATTAATTCTCATTGTCATTGCTTATTGTTTTCTACTATTTGTTTCTTGTCAAAATGTAGAGTTTTTCTCTTTTTTTGTAGTTCTCAATGTATTTTGTTCTATTCCCCCCCCCCCCTTTTTTTTCTCTCCTTTTATCTTTTTATGAATGATTATATTTGCATTCAGCAGGGCACAGTTGTTGATATTGTCTTTCTTTCAGTTTCCCATATCAGAAATTCAGAAATTTATTTTTATCATGTAGAAGAAAAAATCTCTCTTCATGATATAGACCTATACAGTTTTAGACACTTAGCTGAAGTAGCTCATCTCACAGTCAGTCATCTTGATTAAAATCCATTGAGAATAGTTCCTATGAATGTAACTATATCAAGCTTATTGATAATATTATTGTATATGCATATATTTTTATTATTTCAGGTCTCAAAGGTTATGAATTCACGGACACAGAAGGCAGTGATTGCAACAGTATTCATTGGAGCAGATTCCTCACCAATGGATGACTGTCACGTACGCTTTGTTGATGAACTCTTTAGAATAGAAAAAAATATTAAGTTAGACGAGAGGAATGGAGATATGGAGAGAAGAATCATAGAAGGGTCTCCTGTTAAACGTAAGTTTAGATGTTTAAGAAAAGAAGTCACACAAGGCAACAGTTTTATTTCTGAAAGATATTAAAGGAATGTTTTTGTATTTGTTTATTTATTTCTAATCACAGAATGGTGATGATTATTATTACTTTCACCTTGAAAATTTTAAATCTTGGATTATAGTTCCTACTGTTCATGAGAGAGTAAGCAAACATTCCTAGAAAAATGTGGAAATGATTTTTGATTCATAAGTGCTCAGGTTTATAGATGCTGTACAAATCAGAATGTTGCAATTCCCTTTACCTTTATCTTAGTTTGCTTGATTATCAGGAAAGTAATCCCAGGTTTATCAATATTTATAAGTTAGTAAAGATTGTATTTTGACACTAATCCTTTTCACGATCTTTGAGTGAAGGAGATATTTCTTTCTGCTTGTATTCTTTATTTCCCTATTTTTAAAATTCAAGGTAAGATCTCATCTTCATAGGTAAGAATGCACCAAACTGCGCAACATGCAAGGACAATCCCAAGCGCAAATGTAAGGAATGCGGTTGCCACGAATGCGGTGGAAAAGAGAATCCAGAGAAACAGCTCATGTGTGATGAGTGCGACTTGCCCTACCACATTTACTGTCTCACGCCACCCATGGAAACCATACCTGATGTGGATGAATGGTTTGTATATTTTGATTTTGTTTTCAAAACCCATCAAATTATTGCCTCAGCCAGAAGTATTTAAGAATGCATCTAGTTCTATGTTTTGAATTGGTAGTATAAGGTTACTAAAGATCAGAATAGATGTATATGTGATAGGCACATAATTGAAATTTCTTAATATAAATATGTAAAATTAGGATCTCTGAAATGTCCACGTTTTTTTGTTTTTTTATTTCATTTATCACTGGTAAGAGACAGCTATTTGGACGATTCAGGCTTCTCTAGCGCTTATTATTAATGAAATAGAAATAGAATTGATTTGATGTTTTGTGTCGAACTCTAAAAGTTTAGATACATGAATATAATTTAGATGTTTAATGTGTATCGTAAGGAACCAGCATATTTTATCCTTATTTATGTTGTAGGGGAAAGTTAGGGAAATGGATATCGCAAAAGAATTAAATTATTAGTAGGTATTATTCTTTTTATTATCAATTTGCTTATGTAGATGCTAGGCAGAAAATGCATTGCAGTATGTCTTTTACCTTAAAGGTACATTGTCTATAAAAAAAAAATAAAAAAAAAAAAAAAAAAAAAAAACAGAATTAATAATTTTTTTTTCAGGTTCTGTCCCTTGTGTAAGAATGATGATTCAGAAATTGTCAAAGCTGGTGAAAAGTTGAAGGAAAGCAAGAAGAAAGCAAAAATGGCTTCGGCGAAAAGCAACACATCTCGAGATTGGGGGAAGGGATTCGCCTGTGCAGGACGGCAAAAAGTTTGTACTATTGTTCCGCAAAATCACTTTGGAGTAGTCCCAGGTGTTGAAGTGGGAACAATGTGGAAGTTCAGGTTACAGGTAAGATTTCATTTGCTCTATTATTATTACTGATATTATTGTCATTAAAAATGATGACCTCTCTCCCTCTCTTTTAATTGCATTATTTATTATTTTTCCAGTTATTCAATCATTTTTATACCTTGAATTGAAATTTGCCATCTTCTGTTTCAATGTCAGGCATCAGAAGCAGGAATACATCGTCCACATGTTGCAGGAATTCATGGACGTGAGAATGAAGGTGCTTACAGCATAGTTCTTTCTGGAGGTTATGAAGATGACGAAGATAATGGAGAGAGTTTCACGTACACAGGCTCAGGAGGTCGTGATCTCTCTGGCAACAAAAGGACAGCTGAACAATCTAGTGATCAACTCTTGACTAGGATGAACAGGTGTGAATCCATAGAATTAGTATAACAGTTGATTTCTCTGTTTACAAAAGGACTTGTTCAAGATCCATAACTAAAGCTAGGGGAGGGTACATGTAATAGGGATACTGGGTTTGTATGAAAGTTACAAATCCGTGGCAATGACTAGTTGAATATAATTTGACTATTAATATGTACTAAATGATCTGAAGGTTATTGCACAAAATTAAACATTAGCTTAGTGCTGGTAGGAGGTTAGTAGTAGGTAGGAAAAAAAATGATTTGCATTCCTCTTATCCCAGCGGTCCCCAGCCAGTGGATCACAGAGTTATCAGGGGTTACAAAGATGTAGGAAAGAAAAATTGTAGGCCAAGTATGAAGCCATGTTTGCAAAGAATGTTCTATTGCAATTAGATAGCCTAAGAATATGTGGTAACAAAAATTATGAATGGAATGGTTGATATCAAGGGGTCCTGTTTGCAGTGGAAGTAGGAGAAAGGGTTGCAAGTGTAATGAGGTTTGGAACCATTGTCTTAGCAATATGCAGGTTCGTGTGAAGGGCCAGACTAAAGTATTTTCGTATTTAGCCATTTACATATACATGTGTGAAGGCCAGACTAAAGTATTTTCGTATTTAGCCATTTTACAATATACATAATAGTAGACAAGTTAATTGATTAGTTATATTAAGTATTTTCAGATTCTTATTTCTTATTCTTAATATAATATACTTGTCAGGACCTTATTAAATTGTATTTCATTTCTATTGCAGTAATTTTTGTTTCTCTATTTCCACTTAATATTTTGCATGAATAATTAGCTGACACTTTAAAATGTTTTATATTACAGAGCTTTAGCTTTGAATTGTAATGTACCCATAAACAAGAATGGAGCTGAGGCAAAGGATTGGCAAAAGGGGAACCTGTACGCGTTATTCGGAACTGCAAAGGGAGAAAGCATTCAGAATATGCTCCAGAAGAAGGAAATAGGTAAGTCTGCATGCTCTACAAATATCATGGATGGTCAGTTAGTTTCAGTAATATGGTTAAAAAAAAAAAAAGAGAGAGATATCCTTGTATGAACATGATTTTGTGTGTGTCTTCCATTTTGTCAGATGCGTGTAGTTTGAAAGGATATAGTTGGTAAAGTGTCAGTGAATCTATTTGCATATTTACAGCATATTTGCAAGATATTTTGTATGTTTTGATGGACTTTCCTCCATTCCTCTCTGCTCATAGGTATGATGGTATTTATAAAGTTGTAAAGTACTGGCAAGCAAAAGGGAAAAGTGGATTCAAAGTGTGGCGGTACCTCTTACGGAGGGATGACCCTATCCCTGCCCCATGGACTAAGGAAGGGAAAAAGAGAATACAGGAACTAGGCCTAGAGATGGAGGTAAGTTGCTAATTCATCACTAAGGCTTTTCCTATTACATGCTTTGAGTATGAGCAGTACCTTTTGTCTGTGATTTTATTGTTTCATTAAGTTTAGTGTTAAAAATCTTTGGATACACTTTTGTTAATATCTTTTGTCTGTATGCCAAATTCCTTTCCTCAGCAGTTATTGTATTGCTGGCATCACTTATATGACGAGTAACTTGGTCATTATCACTCACTATGTTACCAAACAGCTTATAAAACCTCATAATAACATTCATCACTTGGTTTTAGTGTAAAAGTCTAGAGGATGCCAGTGAGTGATAAGTGAAAATGGGCATTTCAAGAACTATAATGTATATCATGTCATATATGGCTTATCACTTCTATTAACCTATGGTGATGGGGCCTGATTTATTTGTGATGTAATATTACACAACAGTCTAGACTTTGTGGCTATGCCTAAGCTGTATACAGCCGGCCAGTTACAGTATATAATGATGCGTTTACACGTCATAGGCTGTTACGTCGTGATGGCCACAGTCATCACCGTCACCAAGGGGTTAACCCAGGTTTGTCTGGGACCAAGTCAGCTGTTGGCAGGAAGGCTTAATGTGTCAGCTAACCCTCATCCTCTGCTTATCACACAGAAGGTAGCATCTGGCAGCTGAAAAATTTTATACCCTGAGCTAGGCACAAAGGCAGGCTATCTAAGTGGAAGATTCTTGTGATAGTACTGAGCTCGCCTGAAAACTCGAATATCTGTGGAGCAGCAGTTAATTATCCAAAATGTGTTTCTTATACACTACTCTACTTTTTTTATTTTTTTTTTTTCATTTTTGTTCATTTCTAAAAGCTAAAGAGAGTTGCTTTGTCAGTATCAAGATTATGAGTATAGTGATTTAAAGGAAATTTATGCACATATAACTTCTCAATTCCCATATTGTAATGATTCAAAATGACTACAGCTAAAATTGAGCTAGTATCTTCCAAATTAATCTACTGTCCCCATATGGCAGAAATACATGCCATGCCCACTGTAATTTTAGTTTATTAATTGTATTTACACAAAGGTGGCTCCACAAGTGCTTGGTCACTGATTGCTAATATAACATCACTAGGGCCCACTGATTGATTCCTTGGTAGCTGGGAACTTATGGAGCCATCTGTGTGTGTGTGTGGGGGGGGGGTATTAACTAAAGTGGATCGGACATAATTCAAGAGCAAATGGGTAAAGAAAAAAAAACAAGACAAAACTGCACTTTTAAAATTGTCCTTAGTATGCATCCATTTTTTATCATTTTCCATTTGTATTATTTATCTAAAACATCAACAAAATTTAATACTTTCTTGTTTGTTATGAGATCTTAGAGATGTTAAATAATATGTGAAACTGCTGTACAAAAACTTGTGTCCAATTAGTGGCTCTAGGAGAAAGTGCTCTGGCTTACAGACTTATAGAAGAAGCAGAAATACATGGCAACAAAGATATAACAAACCAGTCAAAATACATTTCTTGCATAAGGGAACAGTTTAGTATGAAAGCAAATTTTAACTTGAAAAAGCCCCAGCTAGGGTGTGGAATCTAGGGATCAACCAAGGTATATTTCCTTAGGTGTACTGTTAAATCACAATATAATCTGCTGTACGAAGTAGATTAGGTATACATAGAAATGTTGTGGTTTGCTATGGTAGCTATTAGTAATATTATTGCAAATAATATTACACACAAAAGATACATAACTGACAACTGATTACTATGCAGTTAATTTTTAATTATTTGAGTGAATTTTGGATTTCAGTATCCAGAGGGTTACCTTGAAGCTCAAAAGGAGAAAGAGGAATCTGCAAAGAAGGAAAGAGATGCAAGTACATCTGGAAGTGATGACGAAGGAAAAGCAGAAGAAAAAGAACTCGAAGAGAAAGAAGAGCATAGAGACTGAGGCAGAGGCAAGTAACTGTGTTTACTCACATCAACCAAAAAGAATAATAGATTATAAAATTTATTTGTACTTTTCTTGAGGTTACTTTTAATTAATCTATTATTTTTCTTTGTAGAAATCTGAAAATACACCTTCAAAGGCAAAGAAAAGAAAAACTGCAGGATTTTCTTTGGAAAAGGAAATTGAAAAACTGATTGCAGAAGATGAAAGCAACCGTAAACTTTGGGAAGAGAGTAAACAGCTCTTAGAAGAGGGACGATCAGTAAGTAGTATTTCTCACCGATGGCTGAAATAAATTGTTTGTTGTAGATGCATCTAACTGATTAAGAAGCTCAGTTACTGAGTATGAGATTAAAGAATATTGAGTAAAATAAGACACTTGAGAATATGTAGTTTGTTTACTTGTTTTATATATAATTATATCATTGCAGTATATTTCTGACTTATCACTTTCGACCATATATTTTTTACCATGTTTTTGAGCGAGAGTAAATAAGCAGAAATTGAAATATTTTTGAAATTTCAAATAGTGATGCAGGAGTACGTGATGGTAGGCACTACTTGAACCTACAAAATTTTGACCACCCTTCAAAATCATTATGAAATCATCAACATTAGTAATAGATTTTCATATTACTGAAATAAGTGTTGATATGTTATAAAATTTCTTTCAGAACTTTTTGAATGCAGTGGAGGAAAGATTCTTGTGTATCTGCTGTCAAGAACTTGTGGTGAAACCAGTTACTACAGAGTGTAAACACAATGTTTGTCAGGCATGCTTGCAGAGATCTTTCAAAGCTGAAGTCTTTTCATGTCCAGCATGTAGATACGATTTAGGTAAAGGGTATGCAATGAAAATTAATAAGCCATTAAGTGAGTGCCTAATAAAACTCTTTCCAGGCTATGATGTTGCGCGTTAATGTTAATTAAAAACTAAAGAATTCCTTCATTTGTCACTGACATTTTTGACTATTTTTGCACTCAAGAATTGTCTTATTTAAAGTAAATCTCTAGTTACTATTTAATGACATTGAGTTCTTCCTGTCATTTAGTCAGTTATTATTGGATTCTAAAGAATTTTTATGTAATCCATTATTTTTATGTATTTTCCAAAGTATATCCATTTGCATTGTAAAATCATTTATTTCTTACATAACTTATAAGAAAGTAGTGTTTTTGTTCATGGTTTACCGTGGTATGTTTCAGATGTTTGTATTGAAAAAGTACTAATGTCTTTGTATTCACCATCAAGTTCTTTCAGCATTCCCAGACATATTTTAAAACACATTGAAAGTAGAGAAAGTTCTGCTACATGGGATGGGATGCTGATATACATCTTCATGTTGATAAGCTTTTTTATATTCTTCCAAAAAGTTTTTACTTTATTGTACTTGTTTATATACAGTATGTTATTTTTTTAAAGTTGGAAATGTAGTATCAGACATTCAAAGTCCTCCAGATTATGTTTACTAGTAGCTGTAAAATTTGTTACACATGTACACATGTTCACACATATATACAACTGCATACACATTTTTAAATTATTAGTTTTATTATTTCCTTCCTAACATTATTTTACAGTTTTTATGCCATCATCCATAGTTCATGAAGTATCAAATGTAAATAGACATAGATAAATGATGTTCTGTAATTGATGATTAATAAAAGAATTTAGAAAGTCATATGCTGAGGTTCTATAGTAGTATCCAGTCCTTAGAGCAGGGGTTCCCAACCTAAAGGCTGTGGAGCAATATGGAAATTGCGACATTGCATTGAATGGGGCCTTGGAGATTATCATATATTGGTTGGGGCCATGGAAAAGAAAGGGTTGGGAACCATTGCCTTAGAAGATCAAAAAATGCTCTTATTCCTCCTGTTCATTTGCAGTTAACATGGGAAGTATTGACCGAGTCTTCCCGCTATGCTACTTTAACCTCTAAAGCACCATTTAAATGCAATTTTTGTCACATCATTTCTCACCTTCAATCATTCTGAATTTTGTATTATGGATGATTTAGATTTTCTAATGACTTTGTCATGTTTCATCCAGTGGGCACACACCCTGAGAAAGACAGGTGATATATTTCATCCCTTAAGAGTTAGTGGTAATATGTAATGCAAAACACCTTTGTTTTATAAGCATTTTACTTCATAGCCTAAAATACACTTGCCACATACAAGTTTCTTTTTCCAAGATCTTGCCTTTGGATCCTAAACACCACTTGCCTATTTTGTCATACTAATTTCTGCTTGAACATATTTGGCGACAACCTAAATAGCCTCATTATTCTGGTTATCCCCATATTTTCCTATAAAAATCTAGAGATAAGCATTAACACTAATGATAGAAAAGAAGTAAAAATGTATGCTGAAAAAAAGAAATATATAATTTAAAAATGAGTTGAAATAAACAATTGCATGCAAGTAATATATAATGCATCCTAAACAAAAAGAATACAGCTAAGTGATGGATATATTGCCTGCATTAGAGACAGATGACCAGCTACTGTTTGCAATGACCATTTGTCCAGTTTAAAAAAAAGTGTGCTACCATGTGTAAACAATTTCCTGTGAATGGAAAATCAGTAAAGAGCTAAACATTGAAATGTGCAGAATCCAATAACAAAATAAGATCAAAGATAAACACTACCATTATATAAATGTGGATTTTAGTTTAACATTATGCATGTAGATTGTAATATTGATTTTATATGGTTAAAACTTCAGGATTTCAAAGTTTGGAAATATTGCAGAAAAAAGAATGGGCTGCAGATATCTTTTTGGTACACAAAATTTGAAGTGTACCTGCCACATGTGTTGATATGCAAACAGATATCATTGGTGCAATATTAGAAAAAATGGGAAAAACAACCTAGAAATTGCATTTTAATACTCAGTGTAACATTATTTCCTGTAAAAATAACAATAATAATGGCTGAACTATGGGACAAAAATAGTGAACAGTTAAAGAAAGTAATAGGGGGGAAAAAATCTTGAAATAATTGCAAACTACCATAATGAGGTAACTTGCATAACAAATGAGCTTTTCCTTGTATGGACAATATTCTTCACTTGTTGCATTCCATTTGATACTGAAGGGAAGTCATTTTGTTTTCTTGTGATTTTTCCCCCTATTTTGCACACATGCCTATCTAATGTCATGCTCTGACCTGCCCCTATGTCCTCTATGTAATGTCCTCTTTCAGTTCCACACATTCTTTTGTCCTGCCCAGACTTTACTACAGCCTGCACCTCTGCTTTCCCCCACCTATCCTCCCTTCCCTGACCTCCCAACATATCAGACATCCTTACAGAATCCCACAGCTTCTGCCTTGACAACCTGTTCTACTTCCTCAGACGCATAAATATCATTCACTTGGTATAATTCCCTTACCTAAATCACCATAACCCATTCCCTCATCAACTCCCTTACCCATCTTTAACCTTTCAATATTACTCTTGATAGTTGATGCATCACCTACCATCACCCTTTACTATACCTTCCTTTGGTGCTATATGACCTTAGATGTCTAGCACATTTATTTCACTTTTAACCATTAACCATTCCCCCTATTTTGGAGTTTTTCTTGCAATGATTTTCCTCCAATTTACATGGTGCTAATCTATCTATCTGTCTGTCTCTCTCTCATGATTAGCTCTTGAACTACTGCATCATCATCCAGAACATTAAATGGCTCTGAAAATATCAGCAATGTCCATGTCAGACACAACAGCAGCATTGGCTTATCATCTGCTGTGATATCAAGTCTTTCAGCATCTTTCTTTGATTCATACTTGGCTCTGCAGGGTGATTTCTGTCAATATTACTTTTCAGATTAAATTTATGTGAAGATGGGTTTTATCAAGTTATACCAAAGAATAGATACTGGTAATATAAAAATAGCACTGGTAATCACTTTGAGACTTTCTTGCACTCATTGGTTTCCCTTTGATACTGTGGGCAACTTTTTTTCTCTCAATTGCTTTTTATGTTTTATTTCCTATAGGCTAACTCTAGTTCCAATTGGTTGCACTGAGACTGGTAAACTTTAACAAGAGACTCAATACTATATAAAATTTCACATATTTCATATATACTGTTATCCCTTGAGATGATACTGATTAAAATCCTAGCTTTCTATATATTATGTTCATACATATTAAAGTTAAATTACTTGGCAAATAACTCATTGTAAAATGGGGACCCAATATGTATATTAGTCATAGATGAGCATATGGTGTACTGAAGTAAAGTATTGGATAAATTTCCCCCACAATACTGGCATTTTCAACATAAATGATAGAAGACCTATACCTCATTTTTATCATTTATGCTCATAGTATTTTTCAACTGTCCTTTCCATAACTTTCTCATTTGATACCTCATATTGTCACCTGACAAACAATATTACAGATAAATAAGTAAATGCTCTATTTGACATTTTTCCATTGTTCTTTCTTCCATAAATTCAGTTTTAATACCAACTGAGCAGTGCAAATCTTAATGCATTTTCTACACATAAAAAAAGTAACAATGAACTACTAATTCAAGCTTTCATTCCTAAAATGTCAGCATTATTAGCAACATACCACTAAGAAACCCAACTCTGATTATATATACTTTCAAGGCTCTCTGCACCTTCACACATCAATATTTGTCAGTGTGAGCATGGTAACCCTGCCTTTATTGCCATACTCCAAGGAATGAGATACATCTTTGTCATATCAATTATGCACTGATTATCAGGTATGTTGCTCCTTATACAAGTTCCATGGCACAAAAAATTCTCTTGTTAATTTTAAATTTATCTTTGTTCACTTTGTTTCCAGTAATGAAAATTAAAAATACAAGATGTTGATATATTTATTATAAAGTTCTAAAAAAAAAATAATAAATAAATTGCAAAGTCATCTGACACCATATTTGGAATAAAACTTAATTTACCTTTGACACTGGAAGGTATTACATAACTCTTTTTGGAATATTTTCTCATCAACAGAAAGTAAAGTTTTCTTCAGATAATATTAGCCATGAAAACCAAGTTCAAGTCAGTCAATTATGCATCTAGCAGTTGACAAAAGTAAGTTCTGGTGGATGGTATTTCAAATGTAGGCTTAAAACAAAATATTGATTTTATTTCTGAACCTAAGATGAGGAGGAAAATTGAAGGCTTGTCCACACAGGTGGGCATGATCAGCAGGCACTTGTAAAGGTGATGTTACAGGCAAGAAATCAGAAATTTCTTGCTTACCAAGCAGTTTATTCGTCCGTTGATATCATCTCTACTGATGCTCACTGATCATATCAATTCGTGTGAACTGATGAAAAAATCTGAAATGATCAATAACTAAGTCTTTAGCCTTTTCATTGACGGGGGAGGAAAAAATATGCAAATGCAACCTCAATTCAACAAAATACTGAATGCAACGTTTCATAATAGTATTCAATTTCCTAGAAATGAGACTAGCAAGACCTTATACTGAAGGCAAATTTCAGAGGGTTCTCTTTTGCGTTCCCAAATAAAGAAACACAGCATGAAGATAGAACTGCAGCTTCATCCTGTCAATAACTGTGTGCATACAGTATTAAACTTGTAAGGTTCAAATCATCTAACTTTATATTATTGGTCAGAATGTTAGAAACAAAATTTGTTAACTTCTAGGTGACATAATCCTGGTTTCAATCTTTTACTTTTATTTCGCAATAAAATATCAACCATTTTGTATGTCATTTCTTTATATTTCAAATCTTTATTATGTATAAAGCACACTAATAAAATTACTGAAATCATTTATTGAATTTTTGAACCTTCATGTATATTCATAAGTATATTCATTGTGCCCAAGACCGTAACTGTTGTCAATTCTTAATATACAATGCCATCATCTAGCAACAGAGTAAACTTGGGTAGCATGGAGCAAGCTGAAGCCAAACAAGCAAAGAAAAAAATAAAAAAATAAAAGAAAGAAAATGGACGGAAAACTCTACTCTATTTTGCTTTGTCTAGACAGATCAGAATCCTTTAATTCTCAAAGTAAATAAGATTCCTTGCCCAAAGCTACCCAACTCAGTATAATTACAGTTAAACACTGCATCATGATTACTTATTCACAGGCATCCTGGTAGTGATCTGGACAATCAACAATGCTTGTTTCTGAATTTTTGTTCAGATATATATGTGATATATATATATTATATACTATCACACATTCCACTTTGTACTATGGATCTGCCAACAAATAATGCAAATAATTCATCTAAGTTAGTGCCTGTAACAACAGGAGATGCAGGAAGGTTTTCATTATAATGTACTTATTCCTTGCCAACTTCAAAAACCTAATCCCTTAAGTATTCAAACAATACAAGTTTAATTAAACAAAAAATGAGAGAATTTCTGTTTTTATTGGTCTATGTGTTAATCAATATCAAGTACAAAAAAGCGTGGCAAGCCTCCGCCAGGGTAGTGACGGCCATAGTACAACACAAAAAACCAAAGACAATATGGGCTTCAGACATATGTACACATTATATAACCATCACTACCCCGTCAACCACCTTGACGGTTATTGATCAATATGTACAACAAAAGCTTTTGGGAGAACTGACAAGAAATTCTTAGCAGAAAATCTTTTAGAGAACAATTTTCTCCAGATTTTCCCTTCGGAATAACAAGAATTAAAAGCTTTCAGCTCTTGTGACAAAAAATTGAACTAGTCAATTTTTGTACCAAACGTCAATATAATAAAATGTTCATTAGAGATCTAGTCACATGTTATGACTTTCCCACCACAGCATTCTTGATGGGGAAGGAAAACTTGCCATTTTTAAAGAGAATGATGCTTGATGAGATTGGAACAACGGAGAACTCTTACGCATAGGGATCCCTAACCTCTTGAACTCAGCTCAGGTAAGGGTCCCGTAATTAACTAGTGCTACCAGACTAGCAAGAACAAACCCAATGTAGATTTGCTCATTTTTAGGAGCAGCACTAGTCGGTGTCTCATTTGGACTTATCCCAGGCTTGGGAAGTCACGTTCATCATCCATTTTCGGAGCCTCTTGGCGGGGCATTCCTCGTCCCCCACGGCTGTTGAGGCTTCCACCACGGCGTTCGCCGCGGCCTCCTCCACGGCCACCACGCTCCATTCGCTCACCACCTCGGCCACGGCCAATACCACCACGTCCACGTCCTCGACCACGACCCCTAGCTGGGGAGTCCGAGAACTGGAAATCGATATCAAGCAGAACTTTCCTGCGGCCATGATGCACTTCCTCCTCAGATTCTCCTTCATCAGATTCAACCTCAACTTCCTTTTTCTTCAGGACATAGGTCTTCTTCCACTGGGCCTGATTCTCCCCTCACCAGCGCGTCGGATATTGAAAGATGGCTTATTACGGGCACCCTGCATTGCTTTCCATTCATCAAGAGTCATTTCCTTCACACTCTCTTCTTCCTTAGGTTCCTCGCCTTCAGCATTAGCACCGGTGTCATCAGCAGGCTGTGCAATCAAATTGTTAAAAGTCAATATAAAGCTTCAGAAAGGAAAGGAAGGAAAAAAAAAAAAAGTATACTCTGCCTTATACTAACATACCTAGACACCTGGCTTTAAAAATTCAATGACTGCTAAAAATTCTACAAGAATCTCCCTATACTTTTGACTATGATAAGGTTTTAGCTTCAAAATAATTACTATTCCCTTCCTTTACCTTTTCTACGTTCTCTGTCGAAGAATCATGATCAGAATTTCCTGCAGGTGTAGCATTAAGCTGCTCTTCAATCTGGTCTTTGTCAGATCCCCAGTTATAAGATCCAGAGCCGTCACGTTTGTCCACAGACTTTACTCCAGTTGTCATCATTCCACTCTGTCGGTCAAATTCACGTTTGCCGCGGTTGTCAGGGCCTCCAGGTGCTCCACGTCCTCTTCCACGCCCACGTCCCATTCCACGTCCACGTCCCCTACCCATTCCACGTCCTTCACCACCATCAAATCTATAATCATAGAATAAGAGTTATTAAAGTATAAACCATCCATTTTACAATGCTTCCAAACTTTAACCACATGTAATGACCAATGGACTATGCAACTTTAGCACAACTTAACATTAAGGAATATTGTATATCAGAAATGTATAATAACCAATATTTAGTAACTTCAATTACCTAGGTGGTGGTCCATCTCTGAATTCCCTTCCGGTCGGTTACGTCTATTGTTGCGTTCTTCACGGTCAGAAAACTTAACACGTCCATCATTCGTGTTGGCACGTCCATCGTTGGTGCGTGGTCCTTTCTGCTGGGTAGCTATAAGAAAAAATATCAATTAAACATATGAATAGATTTTTTTTTTCACACATACCACGAGTTAGACAAATTGAAACAACTTTTTACAAATATATCTAAATTTTCTTTCTACTCCTTAAATATCTGGAATAGACTTAAAAGATTGATTTACCCAACTTAAAAGACCAATAATACCATAATAGGACTATTTTTACTGAATATAATGGTCAGAATAAAAACATTACTATATAATACAAATATAAATGCAACATCTAATCAGACAAGCCTAAAAAAGTACTTTCCACTAATATTAACACCATATCAATTTCAAAAAATAATAATTATGATAATATTATTTACACAACTAGCTGAGAGAAGTTGACTTGTGTGGTTACTGTTCATCAAAAGACACCAAGTCTTCCACACTGCATACACTGACAAAAGCTAATAAATCTTCATATATCCAAGCAAGATCAAGCTTGAATTCGCTTATTCAACTAAATAACCAAGCAGATTTACAAGTGCCACTTTGCCTGGATATGTATGCTTGCCTGCTGTAAGAAAAGTCACCAATCTGGACACTTCACCAATTAGATTAAATCACAAGTCATACAAACAAAATTATGTATATAGTGTATATTACAATATCTAAATAACCAAACAAATGTTTGCAGTAGTGGTAATCCTTTCATAATTTTTTTTCTTCATTTTAATTTGCTATAAAATAATTGATTATACTTAAATCTGTTAAGCTAAGATACATATAGCTTCCATTTCGTCTGACATCCCCCCCCCCCAAGTTATTATTACAAATATTAGCACATATACCCATCTTCAAAAAAACATTCAAGCTAGTACTGACCATAATATGGGGCTTTAAATAACTCTGCACCTCACATATCTAACTTTACACTGTAGCCAAACTACACTCACTATGCTCAAGCAGCTATTTATATGGTTTACAGTACTGCTTTGTGGATTTCAGTTCTTTGTTTACCATGCACTGCAAATCCTACTGGTTTTATTTCTAAAAATGGGGCTAGGAGCAAACTTGGAAAGCTACACGTTTCAACTTTTCAGTATTGCCTTGTGCACCTTAACACACACAGGCATAACTAAACAAAGCCCTTTAAACACCAGGGCCCAGGCTATCTAGTTCATCTTGACACCTAGTTGCAACAAATTACAGGTTTAAGGATTTGCATATTCATATGTAATATTCTTATGAAGATACATGTTCCTCTTTATCACTTAGCTCTAAATCTTAATTACTAAACCTCTACCATCCAAAGCAAAAAAAACCCTATGCACCACTATTACAACTAGAATGAGAGGGTTTCTAGAACTAGGTCATCCCTAACTGGACAACTTTTTTGGAGAGTTGTGCAATTTATCTGGCTAAAACTGCTCTTTTACTCAAACCCAGAAAGATAACAGTCTGGAAGAATAGTTATATTACCTATACCCTATTGCTTAGGTTCTTAGGCTACATATAAGTATTAATGTTAAGGTAGGAAAAGAAAGGAAAGAATCTTTAAAAAGACATTCATGCACTTTTATAAAATTATAGACTAATATCCTAACCCTGGGGCTTTGACCCAAATTCCCCACCCAATTAACATGACGATCTCTGCATGGCATTTGTTGTGACTAATTTCCTTTATTCCAAATGTTTTTTGTCTGCACAAATGATTTCATTTATCTGTGAGAGAAACCTTTGCCTCTTTTTTACAAATGTCATAGTCTTTTTTTTTTTTTTTTTTACGAGTGTCCTTTGCGTTTCCAGATCTTGGTGTACTTAAAATTGCACATATATATCTTTGTCTCCAGACAAATCCCTAGTTCATTCTACCAGTTTTTATAATTACAAAAACATTAATTCTTGATTAACATCCATATTCTAAAGCATTTATTGATATCTTGGGAATATTATTCATTTTTTCCAAGTACTTTAAACATAATTTTTTCAACATTTCTTGTATCAATATGACAGCCCTAAGACAGGGAAAATAGAAGTATACAGTCAAAGAGGAATGAACTACCAATATACAAAATATGTTGGTGCAAACAAAAAGTAATTTACAAATGAAAATAGGTCATCACAAGATGGTGGTCTGAGGCTGAACCACCGGCTTGGGATATATGTACATTAGGTGAGGGTCCAGGGACAAAGCCCCCTTGATAAGGAAAGTTTTTAGTCTATTCCCTCCAAGAAGTTCCTGCACTTAACGCAAGACATACCCAGCACCTGCCATTTGGCAACAATCTTATGACATGTTCTCGTCATCCCAGCACTCAGCTACATTACAATTCCCTTACCTAGCACTTGGCCAATTTTTTTCCATGATGTGACATCAATATCACCTTGATCCAACTTGTTGAACTTGCAGCTATACACTCCTGCACAATACACATTGGTAAAACTAATTTGTGTGCATGTGCATACAAAAACACCCCTCTTTTCATGCGTACAAGCATTTCTTTATAAGTATGTAAGCAAATATGTATTTGCACAATTTGTTATCCTATGTTGTTTTGTGTTGTATTGTACTAGGGTATAGATTAGTGTGTGCAAGTACATGCTTAAGTTAAAGAAAAAATAAAGAGAAAGGAAAGAAGGAAAGAAAAGAAAAAATTATAGAAGTGCATATTTGTTTCTTTTATGTATACATGTAAGAAATGAATGGTAAATATTCAAAATATCTCCACATGACCAATCATGACAATATTGGTAACAATGGATTCCTGTAGACCTCTACTTTCCAAATATGTAAGACATTTGTTGTAAAATCTCGCAAACCCCCATATTCTTGGCTCTGATAGAAGGGGAGGGTATGAAAGGTACCGAGGAAATTGTTGGATAAATTATGAATATATACAGAATTAGTTATAGTCTAATACAAAGGGCAGTTCCAGGGGACAAAGTCCCAGCATTTGACTATATATTGCCCAATTCTCCTTATATCCAACCCTGCAATTTCCCTAGTACCATTCATGTCCACCCCTGCTATCAGGGCCAAGATTGTCAGTATTAGGGGGCAAGGGGGTTCTGTGGCATATCTATACATTAGGATAGTAGAGGGCAAGACAAATCCATCAATTCCAATATCCACACAATTGGTCATACAAAGTTATTATGAATAATTAATATATGGTATGTGTGTGTTTCCATTCTATATGGTATAACTAACCCAGTAACGACAGGTGTCCCACATGAGAAACCCGAAAAAATGAACACTATCAGGCATCCCGCCAGTGTGACGCTGTATCGGGGCTCACGCTCCGACGCAGCAGCGGGTGGAGTCTGGGCCAGCTACACGCGCCGATTTTGTAGCCACCCAGAAACTTATTTTCGGCTTCAAAATACACCGGTGGTAATGGGTTAACGGTATGTTTTTAATGGAGTGTCACTATTTTAGTAAAATAGTATACGGAATGATTACCTTGATGAAAATAACTTGACTGGCAAAAGGTGTGCAAATCGAAAATACTGGAGATACCAAAGTTCCTCACCATATTTACATTGGGTTATTCTTTAGTTTGGATGCACCTGCCATAGACCAAGTCCTACATTTCAAAGGAAAAAATTTATTAATTTAAGTAACCATGACTGGGCATGCCCTTCAAGCACTGCCCAAGTGCAGGGATGATGGGGGCTCTGAAAGCAGCACTTTCTATTACCTTTTTTCTTAATTTGTGGCCTTTCTGTTTGTGTCTTCAGATTATTTCTTATGCCGATAACTGCTACTGTTTATAATCTACACGAATTTCATATGCAATCTGCCCTAATATGGTGCATCCATACCAAATAAATTAACCTTACATTGAAAAAAACTGACAACATAACTCATTACTGCAGTTTGCCAAGTATTCTCTTCCCTTAAATAACAATTTTGCAATTGTCAACACCTGCACTTTCTAATGCTTACTTTCAATTTATTCTTGTATGTCCTATATACTACTTTAATTTGCTTTACCGGTTATTTCCGCTATTCTGTACAATAACTTTCTGTACATGTACATTTTCCCCACCAGGATTTTTGAGTGCCAGAAGACTCCATTTCTTGACAAACACTGGTCGGAAATATTTCATGTCAGCGTTGTGCTGATTCCAGGTAATTTATAAAACAATACAGAAACAGACTAACTTGAATTTTTGTGTCTGTAAATGCTCCAAATGGAGGGAGGGGGGATATTATTAGATACCAATTCACAGTAAATAAGAAGTCCAATAGTACCTTTGGTACTATTGGACTTTAGAAAACTTTTCCTAACTCAGGCCCCTTACCCTGGGGCACGTCTCCTTACAGACTTTCAAGGATGGTAGGCATGTCAATAGATCAATAGAGTTTCATTAGCTAAATGTGTGTGTGTGTGTGTGTGTGTGTGTGTGTGTGTGTGTGTGTGTGTGTGTGTGTGTGTGTGTGTGTGTGTGTGTGTGTGTGTGTGTGTGTGTGCGCGCGCGCGTTTGTGTACGCACGCATACTAGCTTTATGCACCTTTGTTATAAATCCTCTTTTTTTCGTTTTACACCATAATTTCCGAAATATTTCCAAGCCCTCCCCTGCTACTGGGAGTTATCACATCAAGACTGTTGGCTATGACTGCAACAGAAATCGTCAGATTCATTCTCACCACTAGAGAATAAAACAAATATTGTCTAGGAAGGCCTGTTTATTGTGACTGAAAAATAGTAATTAACTGCAATAAATTCTAAAGCTCATAAAGGATGTCTAAAATAATCATTTAAATATTGTAGGGCAACCTAATATTCCTTGGCTACTCATGATGTTTACAGGGTTGGTGTCTACACTGCCTTGTGAAAACGGTAGTTGGTAGGGGGTCCCGGGGTAAAGCCCACTGACTCAGGTTAAGTTTACAAAGCAATCTTTGAAGTAGTTTGTGCAATTAGGATGGGGTTCATGTGTTACTTTGAGTTGACAAATGCAGTCCTGCTATAAATTTTTAACACACACATTACATATATATAACAATTATATTTTACTATCCTATATTGTACATTCTATATTATTTATATACATATTTTTGTATATCAGATAAAAAAATTAATGTAAAGATTCCTTTACTAGGACTGCTTTATTCAATGGTAGGATAAAAGAAAGGGGAAGTACACATTTATCTACCAACAAAAATGGAATGACCGTTTCCTCAAATTACTCAACTCGCATACACATACCATGAGCATATATATACATATATCTAGGTCCCAAAACCAGGGTATCATGCAAACCCAAAAACCCGACACTTTCTATTTATTCCCTAGGGAGGGGGAGGCAAGCCCCCTGTACCCTGTTTCATTCGCATTTCATAGGAACTTGTACAAAACAGGAATTAAGAACTGGCTGTATAGGGTGTTGAGGACTTAGTCTGAGCAATGACATGCAGCCAATATTTTTTTCATTTCACGGTAAATATGAGGCCAAAGCAACTGTACTATTATGGTTCATGACTATTTTTTATGCTGTATAAGATGGTGGTGTCCATTTTCCTTAATTTCTCTCAGTAACATTAACCTAAATTTAATAGGATTATGTCAACTCTGTTGGAAGAGCTTTTCGGTGAAGTAACTTTAGAAAACACTCGATTACTTTCCAAAGATTCCATTGAAATGTTAAATCTTAAGATATTTGCGATTCTCCCGAGGAGACTTAGCTTTACTGGAGGCAATATACGGCCAAGCAATTACCTTAACAGAATTAGTGATGAAACTATCTTTTCACCCAAGTCTTACTGATTGCTTCTAGATACTTAGACAAATTACACCCATGCCCTACAGACAGCTTTCCCCTTGATCCTCGGCTATTTTTGCCCCGAAACGGCCCCTCCCGCTCCACCTGACCAGGTGAGAATGACCAAGTGGCAGTCAATACTATCGATTTTCCCGCGTGGTGACCGTGCCACCGTGACACTCGGCATGCTCGACCCAAAGGCCCTGGCGCCGCCGGTTCCCTCGCACACCATTACCAGGAATGCAATCCGCGTGACCAGGAACCCCGCGAGGGCGCCGTTCTGCCTGGCGGGCGCCGTCCACACGGTGTGACTGCGCTATTAATAGCTTCCTTCGGCCCGTGACACCGCGTGTTCCCAACTCTCGAAGGGCGCCACATTATGACAGGGGCGTCCCAAAAAGCTGACAAAAGGGCTAGCACGTTGCAGCCGAGACGCAGCGCATGCAGGCGACCGCGACACTGCGCCCGAACAAAGCGCGGAGGTGCGCACGTGCCGCCACGGTCCCCCGCCCGCCGCCGCTCGGGCCATCTTCCCTCGAAACACTATTGACATGCGTCTGAAATTGTTCAAATGTTGCAAGCACTCACCGGGTACACTCGTCTTGTCGGCAGCCTTAGGAGCAGGTTCGGTCTTGACACCTTTCTTAACTACGGGAGCCTTAGCCTTTGCGGTTTTCCCCTTGT